TGAATAACTTACGAGGATTAAATATTTCCAATACTGATATAAATAGTGGTTGAGAATATTTACCTGATAGTTTAACAACCTTTCATTATGACACAGACCTAAGACCTAACTGTAAATTAGCCTTAGCAAAAGCAGAGTTAGAAAAAGAAATTTGAGCAGATATCCATAAAGATTTTATTTCTTATAATAAATTATTAAGAAAAGACTGATTAGAAGCAGGATTTAGTAAAGAACAGACTAAGGAATTCCTGGAAGAATGAAGACAATTGGAAATCGAATACCACAAAGGTGCTTTCATCAACTGATTTCTCAATTTCAAAAAACTAGACCTAAACTGAGCCTTAGAAAATGAAGAAGAATTTAAACAGTGAAGAGATAATTATGTATATTTTGGAACCTGTGAAGAATGTCAACAACCTAATGTTAGTGGTGGTAGTGATGGGTTGTTTGGTAAAAGCAGATGGGGTTGATGCCATTCCTGTAATGCTAAACATTTTCAGGAAGAATTTAACAACTGAACTAGTGGTAATTTCCAGATAGATAACTTTATCCAAAAATGCCAACTAGAAGCAACTAGCAATTGAAATCTATTAGAATGAATTCCTTATGAGAAGTTTACTAATATAGAGCCTATTGCCCAAGGAGGATTTGGTAAAGTAGAAAAAGCTGAGTGAGAAGAGGGTTCTGTTGGAAGATGAGATAATAAAAACAAGCAGTGAAAAAGAGGAGGACATGATAGAGTAATTGCCTTAAAAACCCTCTCCAACTCCCAAAATCTCAACCAAGAATTCTTACAAGAACTAACTCTTTATAAAATGTTTAGAAGTTCAGTTAGTCAGATGGTTCCTTGTTATGGTATTTCCCGAGACCTAGCAGGTAATTATATAATGGTTATGGAGTATATGAAAGAAGGGAATTTAAGAGAGTATTTAAAGAGGAATTATCGAGAATTAGATTTACTAAACAAACTTAACCTCCTAAAACAAATCAGTCAAGGTCTCAAAGATATTCATCGGAAGAAATTAGTTCATAGGGATTTCCATAGTGGGAATATTATTGTTGGTGGTTTGCTTGGTAGTTGTCATATCACCGACTTAGGCTTATCTAAACCAGTAGATGAAACGGATGATAGTCAGGTTTATGGGATAGTTCCTTATGTAGCACCAGAAGTTTTACAAGGACAATCCTATACCCAAAAGGCAGACATCTACTCCCTAGGCATGATTATGTATGAAATAATTACTGGTTTGCCCCCTTTTGCTGAACAAGCCCACGATTTAGATTTATCCTTAAGAATATGTCGAGGAGTAAGACCTCAATTCCCTCCCCAACTCAAATATCCCCAATTACTAATAGATTTAATTAAACAATGCTGAGATAATGAACCAAATAATAGACCTAGTGCTAGGGAAGTAAGTGGAATAATGGGGGAGTGGTTTGGTGAATATAATGATTTAAAAAAAGACACCCAATTCTACCACCAATATGAAGAAGTCGAAAACTATAATAAAACTTTACCAAATGAAATTAAATATCCTACTTACCAATCCCCAGAAGTTTGACATAGTAAACCAATAAATACTAAACAAATCACCCAATTATTACAGGCTTCTAAGGATTTAGAACTAAATATCCAAGAAGAACCAGAACAAGCCCAAATCCAAATACCCCCTAAATAAAATAATTCATATGAGAATAATCCAAAACCCCCCATGCTGAAAATGTTCTCCCTCTGAAAATAAGAAACATTGTTTCAGTCATGGACTTTGTGAAGTGGAATTCATTGGAGATACTACTTATAAAGGAAAAAAGATTTATTTCTGTTCCGATGCATGCGAAAAAGATTTTCATGAATTTAGATTTATTAGTAATCGTAAGTTATATGATGTGAAATATTAATCTGACATCCATTTTGCACATTGTAATATCTAAAACTATATTAATATGAAAACAGAAGAAATTAATTGGTTAAAAAAGTCGTTGGCTCAATGGAATTGTGATAATAGTTGTTATCAGAAATGCCAAATGATTGATGATTGAAAAAAAGAAAACTAAAGGTTAGAAATACATTCGTTTAGAAAGTTTATCTTACTTTGTATCCTTTTAATAATAAATATCTCATATGTCTTTAATCTATATTTTACTCATATAGGCATTATCATTCGCCTATATATTAATTTTATAAAATTTTAAGTTCCCAAACGCAATTTTTATAGATAATGGAGGGAATTGTGTGTGCTTTTTTTGATGTAAAATTATTTTATGAATGAAGAAAAAAGTATCTATCCCGCTTCCTATCTAGACCGCCTTAATGACCTGATTGCTAACCATTTTAATCACCTTTGCCCTATCAAAAAAGATTTTCGCTTAACTTTGTCCGGAATATCTCGTCTAGTTATGCTGGACCGCTACTCTCAAAAAGATAAAGAACGAAAAACTTTACAAATAGGAGATATAGTTCTGACCGTCATTAAACCGGACCCAAAATTCCCCAGCCGAGGTATTGGCAAGTTAATCGCCCGAATTAACGAGAATAATGTTGCCTATTGAGTAATAGAAATTGAAGAAGAATTTGCCGCCAATATTGACCCCGATTTGCTCTATCAAGGCCACCCACGACAAATAATCAAGCCCGATTTTGCTGTAGAAAAACCCCTGGAACTATACTACGAGCAGATTGCCTGACGAGTGGCTCGCACCATAGCTAATCAAGAAAAAGAGGAAAAGTTGCGAGAAAAATATTTTCACGCCTTCTACGAACAAATAAAAAATTTCAAAATTGTGCCGGCTGGTCGGATACTCCACGGCGCCGGCAGTCAAAATAAAGTTACTTATTTTAATTGCTATGTCATGCCTTACATTCCCGATTCACGCAAGGGAATTGCCCGCCACCGGGAAGAAGTAATGGAAATTATGTCCCGAGGAGGTGGTGTTGGCAGTAATGGAAGCACTTTACGACCCAAAGGGGCACTAGTTCAAGGCGTAGGAGGTAGGTCCAGTGGGGCGGTTTCTTGACTCAACGACTTGTCTTCGTCGCCTAACCAACAAACCCCACCCTCACCAACCAATCCTAAAACAGCCCAAGACCAAACCACCAAAAATCAAAAATCCGAAAACCCCAAAACTCAACCCAATCCTCAAAAAAATCAAAATCAACCCCCTCAAACCCCCGCTCCCACTAACACCAACAATAACCCCGATAAATCCAATTCCAATGAACTTCAACCCAAACAAGAACAGCCAACTAACCCAAAAAACACCCCTATTATTCCCCCTCAAACCATCCAAGAACATTATAACAATGATAAAGACAAATCCACCATTGAAAACAATTCTAATTCAACCCCAGAACAAAAAGAACAATCCAAAGAATTATTGAGATTAATCATTGAAGCCGAACTCCTAATCAAAGATAACCAATTCAATGGTGAAACTTTATCTAAACTACTTAAAGAAAAAGAACAAAATACTGAGGCTTATCAATTATTAAAAGAAAGAATAGAACAAGTTATTAATGAATTAACTAATCTACAACAGAAGCAAAATAAGAATAATGAGTCAGTAGTAAACAACAATAAATCCGATATTAGTCCAATCAAAATCTTTACCATTATAGGAATAATTGGAGTGATAATCATGTCTGGTCTAGTAATATTTAAAAAAGCAAGAAAGAGGAAAAAAGGCTAAATTGTTGCGTTTAATTTAAATATCACATTTAACCTGTAATTGACAATTACTACAAGTCTGACAACCATTAGCTCAAATCAATTCCCCCTCAC